TTCATGCTCAACTAGAATGCAGCTACAGAAATGTCTCTCTAGCTTGTAACTTAGGCGAGATCATTCCTGCCTCTCGATCTCTCCTCTGATTTCATTTCTGCATCATCTCAAACAGAAGCGTCTTGTCTTTACTTGCATGGCCCGTAATGACCTGTTCCCACCCAGTGACATATCAACTCATCCTTCCCGTCTGCAGGTGTCTACGTTCAATCTTCAAGCACTTACGTTCCCTTTTGTGCTGTCTTTGTCCTTTCCTCAGAAGTGTCCAATTAAACTTCCCTCAAACTCCCTCCAGATCCTCTTTCAAATTCTTCCTTAACCTCTTCCTTTGCTGGGCTGTCTGCAGACTCCTTGTCAATAGTAAAACATTTAGAGTGCTGAGACCACATTTTTCCTTGCTGATGGCTTTTGTCTGATTGCTTCTTTGTATTTCCTATCTATACTCAGTTGTTCTTGCTTGTATTAGATTGTAAACTCCTGCAGTCAGGCCCTTCTTTGTATTCTGTGTTTGTCCAATACCCAGCACAAAAGGGGCTGTTCCACAATCTGAGCAGTCAGGAGCTGTGGTAGTATATGTAAAAACCGTGTAAGAATAGCAATAAAATAATGAGAAGTTAGAACATGGCATTATGTCCAATATGAGTTCCTCTCCTCGCTTCCCCCTCTTCATCAGATTTGCAGTATTTCAAATTTTTTATACAACAGAAGACAGTAAATGAGGATGTTTCAGAGTAGAGTAGCTGATGTTTCCTTTCAGCTGCTGAAGTGTTTCCCTGTGATCCACTCAGAAGTGATGGCATTTCCATCAGTTTCAGCAGGGAAGCCTCTGTGGGCACCTCTCCATGTCCCCCCCAAGGTAAGACCAACATGTGACAGCAAGCTCAGCTGAAGGAAGGTCATGGCCAAGGTTATGAACCCTCTTTCATGCAAAAATAGAGGACTCCAGTCTCCCAGGCTTGCTGCCAACATGTTACCTTCTAGTTTTGCTGAAATGATCTTGAAAAAGGACCTAAAAAGGGCTGAAGGGGCAAAAGAATGTTGAAATGACATAGTTTCATCTTCATGCAGTTCAGTACTAATTTTGTCCTTTGTCTTTAAGCTGCCTTTTAAGTGCTGTTTGTCTCTGTGGGAAGCAAATGGGTCACGTTGTTCTATGTTTCTACTGTAATACGCTGCCTGCTATTTTTCTCTGAGATTATTTGTGTAATCTTTTTTGTGCAATCTGTTTGTTCTTGAGTCTTGCAAGCTTTGCCTTTGCTACTTCTTTCCCAATAGGCAGTGCAACTTGTTCTGTGTTCACTCATGGGTATTCTGCACACAGCGGACTGGGTTATTTCAACCAGTGTGAAAATATTAAAATGGGGAACATGTGTGGGCACTTAATTGTGGTGAGTCCGACCACAAATACCTTCACTGTTGGTAATTGGCACACAGGAAAAGCAGACCTTTGTTTTGTTTTTATCAGACATAATGATAGATACATTGTTTTTAGTGGGGGTTTTCTGGTTTTCTAAGGAAATGAGGCTTGTGCAATCGCACCGCCTGTGTGCGTGTGCCTGTCTGTTTGTCAGTTCCTCCCTCACCAATAACACTTGAAACTAATAGCCATTTTCAACTAAATTTGTGCAAGGCGCAGGAGTCAGGGGAGGCAGCTGGGTTTTACACAAGTCTTGTGAGGTCCCAGATTGCACCAAAGTCTGCAAAAGGTGCAGCTTCTAATGGCTGCGAGCCAGATCAGTCGTGTATTTGCCCGCATGCCTTTACATGGATCCAGCCACCTAACTGTAAGCTCCCAAATTGGAATATTTTGGCTTACTTGCTTTTACCCTTCGGGCGAGTGAGTCAGTTGGGGGTGGTGCTAGGCACAGGGCTTGTGTTTTGATTCTGACTGGAGTGGCCATGTCTTATGAAAAACATGGTTTGCTCCAGGCCACAGTGTTACGATTTGCATATAAACTTATGAAAAAGGAAGCTTTCTTTGAGCTTTCCAGTGTGAGAGTTTACAGGAGCATTTCTGTCTGTGTACATAATAACAGAAGCTGGACTTCTCATAAATGTAGATGGGTTAAGTCTGTTGCTGCCTGAATGAGAATCTTCTGTGGAAAAACCCAGAAAGAGGAAGGAAAGCCTAAGGAAATACCAACTTGAAGGGGAGAAGTTGGCCAAGACTTATGTTGTGCTGCTCTTTGGTTTATACCTGGCCACCAGCAATGTAGTTGGGGAATGCCTCAGAGCCGTGCAGGAATGTAGCCTCAGGGCACCTTTCGAGACAGAGAAGATGTCTTTATGCCCAAAGGCAGGACAGAGGTACAAAGGCACCAAGTGATCTGCCAGAGATTACAGGAGTATGTATTTGAGTTAGGGAACAGACCCAGGTCTCCTGACACAAGAAGTACAGCCAGAAGTATGGTCTCCAGAAAATGGGGAGATGCCTTGGTCAAAGAGGAAGATAAATGTTGAAGTATACAAGAGCTGGCTAAATTATGAATGTGAGAAGAGGAAGAGGGGGAGAAAAGATTCCCACATGTTCTACTCAGATGTTAACAAAGAAAGCTGAGAAGTGTTTGCATAGACACTACATTATTCCATGTCCAAATGCCTCATAAAAATAATACCGGATGATCACAGAATGGCACACCAGGGAAAATAAATTCTTCAGCGGAATATTCCCTCTGGAAAAACACTGTGTAAAGTAATACACTAATGGCTTTCAATTTCATGTTTTATATATAGAGATATTAACTGCTCCCCAGACGTCTCTTCATATTACAGCCCAGCTACACGAGTAGTTTGGAGAAGGCCCCAGCGCACGATTGAGCTTGTCCACACACAGGACCAAGCAGTGCTCTCCTGTTGTATGTGCATCTCCTGTGGTATATGCAGTAGGTTTCTTCTGCCTCCTTCCCAGAGCACTACTCCTCCTGTGGTTATCTCCAGTAGGATCTTTTTTTTCTTCTTCTTCCTCGTCCTCATGGTTTTTTCCATTCTTCCCCCGCACTCTGTAGCTTCACCACCATGCTGGGAACCCTGCATTCCTTCTCTGCTCGTAAAAAAAGGAGTCCTCACAAGAAGCATTACAGTGGAGTGATTAAAGCACAACACTGTGAATCAAAATGCTAATAACAAATGCTAAAGGAAGTTAAGTATAAAAACAACATTATTAATTCCAATTTGGGGAGTTTCCAGGCTTGTCTGGATTTATCTGGTGACTTCTCTCTCCACATTGCTCAGACTGGGAGCTGTTTGAGGCAGGAACTGTCTGTCCTGTATAATGCCAACTACGGTTATGCTGTTGTAGCAAATTGGAATGATCTGGGTTCTTTTCCAAGCTTTCCTAATATATCTCAAATGTGTATATATATCATCCTGCTGCATCCTGAGAGATCCAAAAGTAGCTTACATGTTTTGTTCGCTGGATGTAGCCTGTTGGAGTGTGAGTGCAGGGACATTGTTATTCCACTACGCAAGGACAGCAGCCCTTCTGTTGGGATGATGAGGCATGTCCAAGTCCTTTTAGGAAGTTTTGCAGTATTTGTTTGAAAAGGGCAATAAACACAGACCGCGGTAGGAGAGAACATCATACTGTTGCTGGATTACTTATTATTAGGGACATTTTATTTGTATATGCCTTTATGAGTAATTTTATTTTGGATTCAGTCTGCCTTCCTGTTGCACCTCAGCTCTTGTTTCCCTTTCCCTCCTTCCCACCCTCAGCGACCACACCACTCCATCCCTAGAACCTTGAAGAAGTGCAGAGTTCCAAGACTGGGGACACCATAATTATTCTCAAACTGGAGAATACCATTTTGAGTGGGACAAAGCCCCAGACCATAGTTGCTCTATTGCCTTCGGTGAGGTTCTCCTGTGTAGGGTGGCTGAGGTTATCCTAAATACCTTCCATGACTCTGTGCATGAATTATTTTCAACAGTGATTGCTGGGTAAGGACATCAGACCTGCATGGGCTATCTCCATGTTCTAGAATTCAAATGGCAGAGGAAAATTGCAAAGGCGTTCCTTCCACCCACCCTCTTCCGTCATCTCTGCACCACAGTCTTCCCTAGGAAAATGTCTTTCCCATGATCTGAGAAACCTTCTTTCTTAGAAGAAAGAAGAAACCACCCTTTTATTTGTGTGTGGCATTAGGGGCCTTTTTCAGAAACAGATAGAGCTCTTACAGCTTGTCTTTACTTAGAGTCCTTACTAGCAGCTTCTGATATACCTTTCTTGAAGCAGGTAAAATTAAAGTATCCACACATCAGTTTCTCGAAGAATAGTTTCTGTGCTTTAAATAAACATAATATCTTAATCCGTATTAATCTTCAAACAGAAAAGAAGTCATTTTTCCATGTAAGAGATGATATTGTGCTCTTTGTAATCACTCAGTCTTTAGCTACTACTTTTTACTTAAATTATCAACTAGCTCAGCATCAGCACATTAGCAAGAGCAGGAGGATTGATACTGCTATACTAGCAAAAGCGTAAAAAGTGAAATCCTTTTGCCAGTATAATTGGCTCCATTGAGGGAATTGGTTTAAGCTGTACAAGCGAAAAACTACTAAATGGTGACAACTGTGCTGCCACCAGGCAGCTTTACGAGGCATCCTACCACAGAATCCTTTCATGTGGAGGCAAGGCTTTAGGCACAGGTTTATCCCATCTAACTGAGGAGCTGAAGACGACTATATAGCTGGGTTAGACGACAGCTGAATGGTTTCCATCTGGGACTCAGACTCCTCACCGTGATCTCTGGCTAGCAGCAGTGGGACTGGTATCAGTGCAGTCTTTGGAGCCAGTTTCAAGCCTCTCTAGATCTTTTCATATGGGCCAGCACTTGAGTGCCTTCTGGTGGCACTGGATCTTTGCTAGCCGTAGCACAAATTGCTCTTCTGTTGACTGAGCTGCCATTTACCCCCTATGCAGCACAGGTGTGTGGGAGGACCTTCCCTGAAGTTGAGACCAGGAGCTTGCTCTGACTGATGTCCTTTCCCTCTGGTGACAGGCCGCTGTGCCCGCTGTGGGGAGAATGTTGTTGGGGAAGGCACTGGCTGCACGGCCATGGACCAGGTCTTCCACGTGGAGTGCTTCACCTGCATGATGTGCAACAACAAGCTGAGGGGACAGCCTTTCTACGCAGTGGAGAAGAAAGCCTACTGTGAACCCTGCTATATTGTAAGTACCCATTCTTGTTTGCACGCTGATTTTAGTGTACAGATGTTGGAAGCATTGATTTGTTTTATTGCTGTACAGTTGCCTTACAGTTAAAACCTGACAATCCCATGACAGTACCACAGGCACTAGTTTTTCCATAGTCTTCAGAAGATCTCTGATCTTTTCAGCTTCCTGGGTGAATGCTGTTTCCTGGTCTAACCTGTCTCTGAAATGAAGTGGCCATAACAGAGAAAGAAGGGTTTTTTGTGATTATGTCAGCTCTGTAAGGAGCAGACTCTGCAGTGATTTTTAATTGATAGTGTTGCTCTCAGAAGCTTTCTGTGTTGAGAAACATGATACCAAAATGCTTACAAACTGGTGCTCACTGAGATTAAGGAGGTGGGATGCAAGATAGCACTAAAATTTCTAAAATCAAGACCTTTGCATTGCTTGATGGAAGTCCTTCTACTGAACTAAGAGGTTTTGGATTGGATATCTTTTGAAGCTTATCTTACCCTAAAACTTCACTTGATGCCTCCAACATGCTATTAAAGCAAACAATTAACAGTTGCTTTGAGGAGCTGCACCTTCTAAGAGGCTCCCATGAGAACTGGTTGGAAGCATCTGCAAATTAAAGAAACATCACATAACATACCTGAGGCCTTACCTTGGGGTGACCTTAGCATACAGTATATAGGAATAATACTTGTAATTTAAAATAAGAAAAGCACCAAAACATTCTTCAAGCGTTGATAGGTCTTTCTCTAAACCTCCAATTCATTACTTTTATAAGCACTGGACCTGAGATCCTTCTGGAATCAGATTTGTATTTCTGAAAGTAAAAAATGATGCTTTTCTTGACGTTTCTGGCATTCCAATAATAATTAAAGTAATCATATGTATCTCTGAAAATGCTACCAGTGTCCCTTCTCCTGCAGAGCCTTTGCAGTGGGATTATTGCTGAAATACTGAATATAAAAAGAGACGATTTTGTCTTATTTACAATGGCAGTGATGTATGAGCTTTTAAAAACTAAATGATCTTTTGATGGAATATGTACCTCTTAAGCCATTTCCATTTTTGTTTGCACTAAAATGATCACAACATAAAACTTTAAGGTTAATTTTGTGGCAATTTTGACCATATGCAAAGCACTGCAGACTTCTAGGAAGGTGCATTCATAATATGCTTGTAGTAACTTTATGCAACTGGAATTAAACATATCATTGACTTCAGGCTGGAATTGACTTCATCTGCTTGCAGTATGATACTTTCTTTTCCTCTTTTTTTAAATCAAGCACTCATTCTTCACCACTCATCTGCTTTAGTTTGGGAAAACATCTGCATTAGCCACTGCAGTAATGGTTTAAGATTATTTAATCCCATTACTTATACACTTCATTAGCCTTAGTGAATCATTGGCAAGGGTTCAGTAAACTTCCTATATTGGGAGATAAAAGGATAAAAAAGGAAAGGGAGAAGGATTCTGTTCCTCGTTTTCTTTCAAATTTATCTTCTATCTATTTAAGGGATAAAGGAATGATAATTGCCTGGTTGCATCTGCGTTTGTACGTTCTGTGATATGGCTTTGCAGCTCTCAGTACAGAGGAGAGAGTAAAAGTTTAATAGCTTTCTTCTATATAACCAGAAGGGGCCTTTAAATGTTTATCCATGCGGTCCACAAAAACCTGGTGATGGATTTAACCCAAAGCACGTCTGGATCCATCTGCTGCTGCACATGCAGGGGAAAGGACGTTGACGCTGATGGGGCTACGTATATGTGGCTGGACAGCTGGTACCGCGAGTGGGAAATGGAAAGCAGGAATGTGGAAATCTGAGGCAGCAAAGAAAAAGGAGGGGAAAAAAAATAACAAAACACCACCAAAGCACACATTAAACTCTTAAATGTGGAAGAAACAAGTGTTGGGAGCCTAAGTCTTGATATCACTCAGAAAGCTCAGGACTCTGCTGTGCCAAAAGCCAGATTCACAAAGGATCTAGGCACCTGCCATGCTATTGGCTTTAGGCTGGAGGAATTTGTGTCGTAGAGCATATGTCTCATTGATTTTTCAGTGCAATGAGGTCTGCATTGGCTTTGATAGGATGATGAGTGCCTCAGTACACTGAGGGCCTGGGCTCGGCTTGCAAGTTGGTCTTGCAAATGGATTGGGGGCCCTCAAATTGCTGAGGCACAATCTGAAAGCTCTTGCCTTTAGATGTGTGATGCAGTCATACTGGAGTCAACAAAAGTTAATGACCTGCTTAAAATCTAGCCTGTGCTTAAGGATTTTGCTGAATTGTGAACTCTGATTTTTTTTTTGGAGCTTCCCCAAGTCCCATTATCAGAAAATAAGTTGGATGCTTAGATCCCTAGTTCTGTAGGAAGTCAATAGGACTGAGGAACCCAGACTCAGATTCCTGTGGACCTGAATTCCTGTGAAAGGTGGAGCCTGTGTGACTAGCCCAAGATTGCACAGTTAATCCATGGCTGTGGGCAGCTGAGAAAACAGGATTCTCAGCTGGTATAAATCTGAGTAATTCAATGAAGCTTGTTTACTGGTTTACCTAATTCACACTGATTTCTAGCACACATTCCCATTTCCCCAAGTCCAAAACTCTCAACTTATTATGCAAGCCATTAGGTCAAGCTGCTTCATTTGTATAAAGAAAATGTACTATAATATTTGTCTGGTTGTGATACATAAATTCATGAATTCTTTGATTATTTTTTTTAATAATTCCCTTGTGTGACTTGTGGCTGTATGCACATAAAAACTATGTGAAAAAATAAAAATACATGTTTTTCAACAGTTAGAATTGGCTAATCTTCTCAGTTTATTATGTGACTTCTTAGTTGTGGTAGAGTGAAGCCATAATTAAGATTACTGCGAAGAGCTGTATTTAATTACTTACTAGTCAATACCAAGCCTAAATAGCCTGCAGAAGGGTTGTTTTTTGGTTTTGTTTCTGGTTTTATTTATCAGTGACCCAGTTAAGATGAAATTCCCCAAAAGTCTGAATCAACATGTAAGGAGATCAATCACCTGTTTAAAAAAATACTTTTCTAATGGGAATTTGAGTGCCACAGTTAATTTTTCACACAAAAATCTCCCCACCCAAAAGCCAGTCACTATCATTTCCTGTTACATCTTATGAATACAGTGAGTTCTGTTGCCAATGTGTTTGCTGGTTTTGCTCTGCATCCAAGGATTCTTTCATTATTGATGTTATTTTTAAAAGAGTACCAGTCTTCTCCATTAAGACACTTCTGCTGAATTAAAAGCAACTGTAAAAAATAAAGTGTTAATAGGAGACAGATGTCTCGGAGTCATTACGACAGTCAAGTAACATCTGAAATAATCACGATAGGGTTTCCAGTGTAACCAGCGCACTGCTGTACACATGGTGAATGCTGTGTCTGCAGTATGTTATCAGTATACTTTTCCCCTCCCTTACAGGACAAATTACTGTCAAAAAACATTTGGTTTGCTTCCTCTAAGTAGTTGAAGAGATTTTAGCACTGGCCTCAGTGCAGAGAAAAGGTTAAGAGTAATATCAGTGGAACCGTTGTTATAAAAGATTGAAGAGCAAGATGTTAGAGCAGTGCCAGCTGTCTGCTTTCCAAATACCCTATTATCATAAGGACTGAACACAAGGTTAACCAGACACACCGGTCTGGCAAGAGTCGTGCTGCTGTTTTGTGAATGGGATGTTCTTTGATGTCCTGATGACTTTCTCTGGGACGTGGAAATTTTCCTCCATTCTTCATCCCCGTTCCTGGCAGTCCGGTGGTTGGCACTTGGAGATAAACTCTCTGAGGCTGAGAGGTGCTGAGCGCCTGCGGTTAGTGCAGAAAGCAGCAAGATCTTGTAGAGGGTTTCTTATGTCGTGTCCAAGTCAATGCAACCCACCACTGGGCCCTGAGGGGAGGACTGTGGTGCAATGTGGAGGGGGACTAGAAAGCAGCAATAACTAAAAAAGCAGAAATAGCCAGGGTTAGGTGAAAGAGTTCAGAAAAGTAGTGAGCTAGAAATGATGAGTGATTGAAGGAGAGGAAAGAAACTGTCTCATGTCTCTCTATTTAGCTAGAGTGTGGGAAGATGGTGGTTATGGCTCTGCAGTGCCCTGTGGAGACCCAGGGATCAAGCTTTCCTGTTTCTGCTGTGCAATGCAAGATATTGAGGACATACCCTTAAACTCTACCTCAAAGAATACTTAAAGGCTTTTCAGGCTGAGGCTCGTCTTTACATAGTGCTAAAGCTGTGGAAGTGCTCTAAGGGGGAAAGATTGTGTGATTGTGCATGGAAGTCATGCTCTGATGCCTGCCATTCCCAGCTTTAAACTCAGGACTATAGTGCTCCACCTTTTTTTTTCCTGATTATTTGTGTTGTGAAGAGGAGAAAAACAACCCGTATATTCAAGGTTTCTCTCTCCTACAAGCTTCTACCTTTCTGGCCTATCAATCAGAGGCAGTAAGTAGGAGAAGATACTTCAGATTAGAACAGTAGAGAAATGCCGATGTTTTAGGAAATGGTACCATTAGAGCCACTGGTGCCCTAGAGTGTCCTAGGAAAGACTGAATTTGGTAATCATTGTAAAACGTTGGTATTAACTCAATTTTTGCTCATTGAAATCTCTGGTAAAACTGCTATCAGGTTCAGTGCGACTGGTGTTGTAAACCTCACCCTGTGTGCGCACACGAGGGTGGTTGGTTGGAAGCTGTGCAAGAGCAGCTACCTCCAGCACATGCGGTTTAAAGTGTAAGGTTGATCCCTGCAGTAGAATTACATCTATTTTTAAAAATAATTCTGCAATTTGTAAGCAGAGATTACAGCACTAATTTAGCAACCATGTAACAATTTAAATTGGACCAGAAAAGAGAAACTATAATTTAAAGATATTTTTTTTTATGATACAAGTTTTCTTCTTTTTAAAGTAGAAAGCCCTTTATTCTTGTTTTTGTCAAGCAACGTATTGAATTTGAGAGTAATTTATGGAAAGTGCTGCCAGCGTGGTATTGC